AGTCAAAGTTCAAGGGTAATTTTTCGATTTTGTTACTCTATGATTACCATTGATTTCTGATTTCATGACTCTTAACCATTTCTCTAACATAGGCTAAGCTGGCAACTCAAAGAGCAAACAAGAACTCAACAAATAAAGTACAACATAATCTTCCAACAGATGGATACATTTTCATGCCGACACTTGGACTTCGGGTCACAAGTGATGCACAATCTAACAACACTGGTCCTTCCAAATAGATGTAGTTTAGGGTCTGTTTTGAAGAGGTTTTGACAGTGAACTATCTTTGGCTGTTATTCCAGCTGTAGCTGTTGGTCATCTAATGAGTTTGAATTGTCATTTAACCATCATGGATGAATGTATTTTGAATGAATGGTTACATTCCAACAGTTTACTGGTTTATGTTTATGATTTTGAAAATGCATGAATGAATGGACTGTATTTTGGCCAACATCCAGCAGTTTGTGTTTTTACGGGTTTATGTTTTATTTATATTCCAACAGTGTACTGGTTTATGTTTATGATCTTGAGAATGAATGAGCTACTCTAGGGAACACACTACTGGTTTATGTTTATGCAGTCTGCCTTTTGGTCTCTTGAACACACTACAGTTTTAGCATTGAATCTCTAAATTTTAGTTTAAAGTTTGCTTTAAATTAGTACTAGATATTGAATTGTAGATTTTTAGCTTACTGCGGGAATAGGTGGAATTGATTACTCTTCCAATGAGTTCAAGAATAAAAGGAAAATTTGTGCATCTCAATCAATCCAATTTTCAGTAACCTCAGCAGTAACATCTAATTCTACTAACTCAGCCACAAAAATGAAATAAACTAAGGTATAACATGATTCATTCATTCAATAGTACAAAGATCATACATCCAAGTTACAACAACCAACTACAATCTTACTATCAACCCCACCAGCAGCAATATAAACCAACAATAACCATCAGAAATAAGATAATAAGCCCCACCAGCAGCAATATAAACCAGCAATAACCGGCAACATTGATACATTTTGTTAGCAGTAATAAGATAATCAACTGCAACAACCAGTTGCAATAACCCTAGGCACAACATTCTGCTTATTCGTTTTTGTGGACTACAATTTCCCTTCCCAAATAGGACTGCAATCTCCCTTCTATATTCGATCTTGCTTCAACAAGGAAATGTCAGTAATTCCACTAATTTGCAAAGCAAATGTTGCATCTTCAAAATGCTTTTGCATTAGACTTGAGAATGGACGAAGATGACCAATATCACCGCCAAGTTCGGTGGAGCTACAATCATAAAATCGACTTGCAACTTCATAGAGCTGGGTGATTTTCTCTTTCAGCTTGGCGTTGTCGTCCTGGAGGGATTTGAGCTGGGTGATGGTAGATTCCTTCATGGTGGTGGAGATGATGCGACCGTCAGGGTTTGAATTAGTGGAAGGATCAACAATTTTTGAGCTGGGATCAACAATTTTTAAGTTGGGCGATGGCGGATTCCACCAATTTTCGTCCGTTGGGGTTTGAATTGGGAATTAATGGTTCGAATTGGTGAGCAGAGAAATTGGGGGAGAAGCATGTTTGGAGAGGAGAGTGTCGTGAGTTTAATTCCAGTTGGGTCAATTTAACGGAGGTGTTTGCAACGTGATATTCTGTCATGCACATGTAATTTTCTGTTAATTAAAAGAGATGGGAGTCTAGTGAGTGGTGGATGGGTAACAATAATTAAAGATGAGTAAGCGTTCAGTAACTCATTGAAGTTAAATGAATAAGTGATAACAAGTTTAAAGTTGAGTGAGCTTTGATTAAATTAACTCTCTACCATCGTTCTACGCTATAGCGTAGAAAATCTAAAACCCTCTCCTCCCTAAACCGTAAACTCCCAGTTGGGTGAAAATGGCCCGAGCTCTTGTCCATGGCTGGCGTAGATCACAAATCTTCCAGAAAATTGCATCAAGCTGCAGCTACAACATTACCAATAAGAGGGAGAAGGAACATTTCATCAAACCCATTTCATGTTTCTCTCTGAGTCAATGTCGCGATGCCCACAA